CGACACCGAGGGTTGCGATCCCATTACCGGTCATGAAAAAAGACAAAAAGGAAAAATATTTGAAACATAGGCCTGTCAGGGTGGAATGTTGGGGTGCCTTTGAGTTCTTTTTTAAACCAGAAACATGTAACCCAGAACATTAATAGTTCCCTCGGTTTTCAGTCTCTGCCTCCGAAAGCTCGAGGCACATGACTAGGTCTCTGATCATTCACGTTACTGTGTGTGATGGCTCAGAATTATCTGCCACATCTGATGTCAGTCGAGTGCCCCCGAGTGCCAGGAGTGGCCTCAGGGCTTATGCATAGAGCCTGGTAGTCCTGTCGTCCTGCATTTAGGTACTACGATGCACAAAAGCTGCTACAGGAACCTGCTTTTAAAAAAGGTTCAGAAAACCCTTCCGCACTCAGCCTCTCTGAGCCTCAGTTTCCTCATCTATAAAATGAGGCTATTGCTAGTATCCTACTTCATGGACTGATGGAAAGGCTAATTATGCTAATGGTTAATGCTTACTGAACATTTAACTCCTGATCCTCCCTGAAGAACCCCTGGCTGTGGAATGGGGCCCCCAGGTTTCTCTAGAGCAGAAGCCATGGTGCAGTGGAGAGAAGAGCTCCCTCCCAGACTCAGCTGTGTCTTGTATGAAATAAACATGGGCAATGAGGGCACAGTAGGTGCTCAGTAAATCACTCATTCGACAGACATTTATGTGCCTACTGCATGCACCAGGCCCTTTTTGTTGTTTGCATGTGGGCAAGACAGATGAAGTCCTGCTGTCACAGCAGGGACAGACACTAACTGACAATGTAATAATGATGACAAGCAGTGCTTCACCAGGCCCTTTTTGTTGTTTGCATGTGGGCAAGACAGATGAAGTCCCTGCTGTCACAGCAGGGACAGACACTAACTGACAATGTAATAATGATGACAAGCAGTGCTTCAAGGAAATGCAGGTGCTCTGACAGAGTGTGACCAGGCAAGCTGATGACCTGGTCTGGGGGGCCAGGGAAGCGGGGGGTGTTCCTGAGGCAGAGTGGCTGAGCTAAGACCCCAGTTTTAGAGAATTTAACTAGAGTGGGGTATTTCAGACTGGGGGAGTACAGGATTTATAGAGAAAAGAGCAGGGCATGTTTCAGAAATTGAGAAAAATCCAGGAGTAGCAAGAGGGAGGGTAGTGAGTGAGGTCCAGGGCCATGTTACAGGTTTATTTTAAATTGATTACATGATAAAATTAGTTAAATAGTACTGATTTCTGAAAGTTGAAAAACAACTTCCTTGACTGATTGAGACAAGCAGGCTGTGGGATTTCCAGATGGAAATAGTGCAGCCTGAGCTACTGGTTTCCCTTGCTCACACGCTTCTACAAAGTATTGCATGGCTTCCTGCAAGACCTTGCCCTACTCACAGCTACCTGAGCATGGTGTTCATCATCTGCCGAGACTCTCTGCAGCTAGCTGTGTGTCCCTCCACCCTGGCCACTCACTGTCCCTTCCCTGTGGCATGATATGCACTATCATACATCCAGCTCCTGCAAGGAAGGACTCCAATTCCTCCTCCTCCCAGGAACCACTCAGGAAGTAGGCACCTTAGCATGGTCCCTGCTCTCGGTATTTTCAGTAGGTGGTGGTTATATATATGTTACACCATAGCTCTGATGTTACTCTGCAATAATTTTTTTTTCTATTTTCTAGACCATAAGACAGAAAATTTTAGACTTCCTAAACCCCTTGACAGCCCATCTTGGGGTACAGTTAATAGCTGCTGTTGCAGCTGTGTGGAGCAGAAAGAAAGCTCAACGACAGAGTAAGATGAAGGTAAAGTTAAAGAGTTGAAAGGGTAGTTAAACTTATCCTGACAAATACCAAAAAGCATGTGGAATCAAATGTAGCATTGGAGGCTGACATGGGAAACTGGGGAATTAGTTTCCCTGTCATAAATACATGAGATAACATAGCCGTCTCTCAATTCAACTAGAATTGTATGTTGGGTGGATAGAGAGGAGCCCATCTCTGACTTCTGTTTTCTCATTTTTCTACAAGTATATAATATGTCTTATTTAACCTTTTTTTTAATCCAATATGCAAATACATACATTTTAAAGAATTTAAAAAAAACACCCATGAACTTATGATTTGGTTTAAGAAATAGTTCATTATACTGTCTGTGAAGACTGCTATGGGACCTTCCTTGGTTTTAGTACCATCTTATCACTTTTTTAACTTATAAAGAGAACACTCATCTGTGACATAAAGAAGGTTGGGATCACCAGTCCTGGTCCTGTGCCATAGATGGCCTCAGTCTGCATCTCATGCCTTCTTCATCCATCGACTGGCTCACCGTGAAGCCTTCTGGTGCTTGGTTTACCAATTTCTACAAAACCAACACATTTGTCACCTTGTTCCCTCTCTGGATTATCCAGTTCCTACCTCGAGCCTTCCTCAGAGGAGTCTGCTGTTCCTCCTGGACACTCCCTCAGTATCCAGCCTCCATGGCCAGCCTCGGCTCCTGTGTTGTGTGGAGGAGTGAGTGGCTGGTGCCCAGGCCACGCTTCTTAGCACCTACGGGGTCCTTCCTGGGCTGTAAACCTGATGCTAGTTGGCTTTCTTCCAAGAGCCTCTGACCACTTTATACAGATTTCTGTTATCAAAAAAGTGCCTCCCATACCAGGGCTTTCCTGCCAAGGCCAAGTAATGTCAACCTGATTTATCTGTTTTTCTTCCTGTCCTTGTGTTTTTGGTTCTATCTTGATGCCAACCTGTTTCCTTCAAATTAAGTACAGTTGTCCCACCAGATCCATGGGTTCCGTATGCAAGATTCAGTCAACCGCAGATCTAAAATTTTTTTAAAAAGCACAACAGTACAACAATAAAATATAATACATAAAAAATACAGTATAACAACTATTTTCATAACATTTACATTGTATTGGTTATTATAATCGATGTAGAGATGATTTTAAGTATGCGGGAGGATGTGTAGGTTATATGCAAATACTGCACTATTTTATATCAGGGACTTGAGCATCCACAGATCTTGGTATCCCAGGGAGATCTTGGAACCAATTCCCCACAGATACTTAGGGACGACTGTATTTCTGTTTCTAAAATGCTTTCTAAATTCAAACAGGGAATGTTATTGTGCCATCACCAACTGCACCATTTATTCCTGATTTCTATCAGATACTGAATACATTATCACGGTTAAATGCTTAACTCAGCGTTCCCACCAATGGAGTTCTTTACCCAGTTCAATAGGAAATATTTGTTTCAATAATTAAAATAAGTTTTTCTTCAGTGGCAACTAGTTTAGGACACTTTTTGTGCATCATTCTTATTTTTATTTTCTCTCCTTAAGCTCTCAAGGATTATTTTTTCCCGGCAGATTGTCCCGGTGGCCAGCACCTCCCAGCTCACCCTTGTTGACCTGGTTTGTGCGCTTAGCACTCTGCAGACTGATGCCGTGCTGCACCTGGTGAAGGAGGTGGCAAAGAGGCCACCACAAGTCAGAGCAGGGGATGAGGTGAGGAGCCTACCAAAGAGAACCTGCAGGTGAACGGGTGGTGTTCCTCCTAACTCTACTGCTTATAAATTGTGTTTGGGGGACCAAGGCGTATATAGGTAGCAGGAGCAAGTAGGAATTGTTGGGCTTGTAAAAAGGAGGGGTTATTACT